AAATCTTCAGTTGGCACAGTGAGATGTTAATGACTGAGATGGCAGGATCTACAAATGGAACAGACCACTCTTTAGTGAACTGTTCTTCCACCGAATAGAGCTTAGTAATGATTTTCAGAACAGTGAACATTTTTTCTGGATTAGCCCAATTACCAAAATTGCCCATTCTATTTGCTCTTGAATGGGAAATGCTATTTTAGATTTAGCAGGTCTCTTTGTATTGAAAGGGGCAAGACAAGATGGGAGAATCAAGTGCGACAATGATTACACTTCTGCACACAGCAGAATTGAGTGTATCCAATATTGGAAGAATATTGCATGAAGCTCTAACGTCAGGTGCACAGGAGCCTGGGGGTGAGAAATCTTCTGCTGTCTCCTCTAACACCGTCTCTGGGTCCTTTTCATTGCCTTCTATGTTTGCCTCTTCTAAGCCAGGCAGACCGGGATCCAACTCAGGTGGTATTATTATTATTATAAAGGATTTGTATAGTGCCAACAGTTTGCGCAGCGCTTTACAAAATGAAGGTAGACATTACAGTTACAATACAATTTGGTACAAGAGGAAACAGAGAGCCCTGCTCATTAGAGCTTACAATCTAAGAGGAAGGGTTGAGTAATACAAAAGGTAATAGATGAGCTGATGGATGAAATAAAAGGCAGTTTACTAGGTAGAAGCAGGATAAGCTTCTTTAAAGAGAGGCTTGCAGGGATCGTCTAAAGGTGGATAGATTAGGAGATAGCCAGACAGATTGGGGTAGGGGAGTTCCATAGGATGGGAGAAGCTCGGGAGAAGTCCTTGAGGTGAGCATGGGAGGAGGTGACATGGGAACTAGAGAGCAGAAGGTTTGGTTGATATTTTGAGACGAGGTTGGTGATGTAGCTGGGGACAGAGTTGTGGATAGCTTTGTAAGTTGTTAGTATTTTGAATTTTGTCCGGTACTCACGGAAAGATTCCGATCTCCTTCTGTGATCAGGACATTTCCCGATCCTGTGACTGCCGTGACAGCGAATCACGGCAGTCACATGACCCTAAAACCCCACCCGCCTCCTGGCTTCTGAAACCCTTAAAGGGCAGGGGGGCGCCGGCGCCAAGGGGTTAAGTATGGGCAAGACTAGCACATGTTTTAGAGAGTTGCGGAAGATGCCAGTAGAAAGGGAGAGATTGAAAATATGAGTTAAATAGTGAAAGATAGAGCCAGAGGGTAACCGTAGTATTTGCGAGGGAACAGGGTCCAGGGGACAGGTGGTTAGGTAGGCTTTAGAAAAACGTTTATCAACCTCCTCTGTAGTAGCTGGGTTAAACAACGGAAGTATTGATTGTGCAGGTGGACAAGGAGTGTAGGGCAAGGGAGGTATCTCTACAGTGGAGGTCTCATCACAAACTGAATCAATCTTATTTTTGACGTGATTAACGATCTCCTGGGCAGTGAGTGAGTTAGTGGGTGGAGGAAAAGAAGGACAAAGTTAAGAGTTAAAAGTAGAAGAGTTGATGGGGATTGCGTGAGAGGGTTTTAATGAAAGTGATAAAATAGGTCTGTTTGGCAGTGTGGTGACAGAAATTGTATTTTTGAAGGGCAGATTTATATTGGTCGAAGTCTTGCTGGGTCTTAGCCTTAAGCCATAAACGCTCAAGAGCATGGCTACATTTTTTGAGGCATCTGCTTTATTGTCCGTTTTCCAGGGCTGTAGCGGTCGGGGCCTAATTCTGTCTGTAGTGAGGGGGGCCAATGTGTAGACGGTGGATGACAGTGAACTGTTGTAGACAGAAGTGGCCAGGTTGGGGCAGGACAGGGCTGAGATTTTGTCATAGAGACAAACTGTTTCAGAAAAAGTAAGAGAGGGGTTAAGATAGCAAAAGGTTTCTACAGGTAACTGTTCGGTGGATGGAAGGAAAGGAGAAGGAAGCCAAGGAGAGAGTGAAGCTAATATGGGAGTGATCAGAGAGAGGAAAAGGAAAGTTGGTGAGGTTGGAAGGCATGCATAGGTAAAGTGGTGGAACTGGATAGGGAGTCTGGGAATGTTGAGCCCTGGTCAATGATGGGTGTATTAAAGTTGTGGGTTTTTCAAGGAATTTCTGACATAGTTGTATAAAAAACAAACAGTCTTAGTTAGGTAGGCTACTTGTTGGATGTCTGTGATGGAGATAGAATCAGATGCAGAGACCGGCAGTAAGATTGGGTCCTGCTCCAGTGCAATGAAAGCCTCATCCTTAGGAGATTGAGTGTTGTAAGCAGCAAAGTCAGTACTTTCCTGAGCTTTTACCATTGCCATGTTTTGCCTGGTTTTCACCATTGCTACAGGTGAGTGTTTTCTTCTGTGGGGTCATCAAACAGCAGGGTGCAGTAAAGTGTGCAGTAGCATCTTGTCATACAACCAAGCCAAAGTGGTTGGGTTTTAGTGCCAAATTTGAAAATGTAACACTGTAATACATTCCAAACACGCACTTAATTTTTACAGTAACAATCAGAGATACAGGGTGAACCTGTCCACATCACTGGTCCCTGTAAAGGGTCCAGGCTCCACCTGTCATGGTAGCATACCACATGAACTATGGACTGCAGCTCTGAACCTGTATAGCGCCCTGAGGCTAACTACACCTGCTGCACAAAGGGCAGTGGTGAACACTTATGCAGGATCCAGGGCCTGAAGCAACATTATAGGCCATCCCCACAGTGTGGGGTCTGGGTACGGTTCTCAAAGTTTTTACAAAGGTTGCACCGATCTGGAATGCACGGTTTTCTATGTTGTATTAGAAGACAGTAAAGAGTTGATTGAAGAGTCTTAAGAGAAAATAAGAAGCTAGTTGAGCTAAACTGGTGATTTCTCCATAAGGGAAAAGAGGTCTATCACCTTAGGACACTAGTCAAAAAAAATGAGGACACACAGAGTGGGGTAGAGTTATAAGAGGGGTGTCCAGTCACCTGAAGGCACCAGCCTATAGCTCAGGGTCTATGAAAACTATACGATTAAGATTTGTGAATTACCATAAAGTGGGTAGTCAGTAGTGTGTTATAGTCTCGGTAAACGGTCCACACCGATGAATGTACATGACCTGACCAGAGTAGTGCCACAAAACAGAGGATGTCACGTTGTCTACCCAACCCAAAGCTTGGTCAAACATCAAACCACCAAATAACCAGCAAACACAAATGCTCCTGAGTTTGGGGATGGATTCGATGCAGGCTACAACCACATTAAGAATGTCCTGGAACATGAACACCTTGCTGCTCTCAATAGACTGGGGAAATCCAAATATACTGAATGGGGAAAGAACAAACAGAGGGCGCACAGGCCTAGTGCATTACCATAAAAAATGTTTAATAAGAAATAAAGTAGGCATTTTGCTCACAAACGAAAATAAAGTCAAGGCACGTCATAAAAGAACAGCTGGGTCAACACCCCGCTGAGTAACAGTCCGCAATAGGGAGTGTAGACATCCAACAGGCTGATGCGTTTCGAGGACTTGCTTCTTCCTCAGAGCCACTCTTGTGTTTATTTCTTATTAAGTATTTTTTATGGTAATGCACTAAGCTTGTGCGCCCTCTGTTTGTTCTTTCCTAATCAAACCACCAAATGGCAGTCCAGGCCACATCATCAACCACCTTGTCACATCACAGGAATATATATGCAAATATAAATTTTAAAAAAATGTACAATAAGATAACACCAACATAGACATAATGCAGTAAAAAAAAAAAAAAAACATAGGTCATCTCTAAAACAGGGGTTGGCTCCTACGACTCCCACAAGTAAGCATTTCCATATTTAACCTCTTTTTGGTGTATTTGTGAAAGTTCCCTTGAATATAGGTCATAGTATAGTTACCAGTAGTTATATATGCACACACCTTTTTTTTTTCCTTTTCAAGTGTATTGTGCGAGAGGGTTTGGGGCCACTATTGTTTGATTTTCTTTTTAGGCCACACTTTGTTCCACTGGCATCCTGTTACCAGGACAGAAAGTGAGAGGAACCCTCCCCAAACAGATGCACAATTAAATCTAGCAGATGTTCTAACATTACTAAAGTATTAAAATTTTTTTTTTTTTTTTATTACTTTTCCTTAAAGTGAATCTGTCATTAAAGACGTATATGAGCTGCCATTGCTGGCCGCCTGTTGAAAATGCTAGTTGTTTGGCTGTGTCTGATTTAAGTATTATTGATCAAAAGTAGTTCTAAAGCCTTAAGGTTTTCACCTTAATGCATTCTATGCATTAAAGGTGACAAACCTTCTGTGCTGCACAATATCCACCAGCAACCCCTTATTCTTACCTGAGCCTGATCCAATCTAGTGATGTGCATGAGAACAGTGGCTGTAATTGCTGTCTCCCTCTTCCCTGGGCAGATTGATAGCAGCTAGAGCCATTAAAAGTAAAAATGCTTTCTAGACTTTCCCTTCTCAGAGGCCTGGACTGCTACATAGGGAGGCTCAGCACCTAGCTGGAGTACATCACAAGGCCTCTGTAAAGAGTGCCTGAGATTTAGAGGCTTCCCAGAAGCAGAGAAAGTGAGAATTTACAAAGGGGTATTCACAGGCACCAAATGATACTTACATACTGTGGATATTTGTCAGTTTATACAATATCACCAAAAAGGTGCACGTTAATATCCAATTTGAACTTCTGAACAAGAGGTAAACAGTAAAGTATATGAAACCCCACATGGAAAAAAGTAGGCGAAAGTATGAAAAATTATTACAGTCTTTCAGTAAAATTATTTTGTAAAGTCTATTAGGAGAAATGTAAAAAATATGGATGGATGAGAAATGATTACTTTTAATTTATACACAATGAGGCTTGAGGGCGTCTAGCAACAAGTTAACATTCCTGTCTTTTTCCAAACTCTGTACAGCAGAAATCACATTTTTTTAATAAACTAACATTTTTTTATGAGCATAGTTTGCATACATAAACCCCACAGTGGCTTCTAATTTAGAGAATGAATTGTACCGTTCCACTTACAGGAAAAAAAAAAAGCAATGGCACACAAGGTTATTAACTTACATTATGCGTGGATACTTGATCTGCCAGTCTTCTGTCTCTTTCTGATATCTGTGGTGTTTCTTCACCTTTATTACTGGAAGCTTTACCCTCCTGTTTTTCCTTAAAATATTAGAAATGTAGGTTAAGAGGAGAACTGTACAGTACTGTTGCCCATTTGTCCAATGACGATCAAACAGTTATTATAAAATATTAATGAGCATGATGTCCAGTGTTCCCGCATGAAAATAAATTCTGTAGGCTATCTTTTAATAATCTCTATAATGAACTACAAGAAGTAAACAAGTCAATAAGTTTACAGTTCCTTACAATATGGTTTTAAATGGAAGCCTAAAGCTAAACTCTAGGCAGGTACAAACAAACAAAACAAAACAAAAAAAACCCAAAAAAAAACCACAAACTATTTTACCCAGTTCATTTAGAGAAAAAAAAAAAAAAAAATCAGACTCAATACATAGGAAAGTTTGATCCGGTAGTGGAAATGAATTATATCCTTTGACAGCTGTAATATTGTTCAAGGTCCAAAAGATGTTAAAGCAGAACTAACATCCTCAAATACTCATCTCTGCTCTAGCAATGCGATGTCCACAAACTCTCTCACTGGAATCAACATTTTCTCTCCGACTTCTAGGTACAGGGTCTTTGCCATTTTGAACTGGCACAGGATGATGGAACTTCCTTGGACGTGCATGGGGGTTATTTATCCCAGCATCTGACAAAATGCTGGAATAGTACACCAAGCTATGAATACGCAGCCCAGTGTACAGTGTAATTTCAGTATTAACCACTTGACCTCTGGAATATTTACCCCCCATGACCAGGCAATTGTTTGCGATACGGCACTGCGTTACTTTAACTGACAGTTACACGGTCATGCAATGCTGCACATAAATGAAATTTGTCATTTTGTTCCTCACAAATAGAGCTTTCTTTTGGTGGTATTTGATCACCTCTGGGATTTGTATTTTGTACGTTAGAAATTAAAAAACACCGCCATTTTTTAAAAACAAAAAACAATATTTTTTACTTTCTGCTATAAAACATTCAATAAAAAACTAATCAAAAAAAAAAAAAATCTAATTTCATAAATTTAAGCAAAAATGTATTCTGCTATATGTTTGGTAAAAAAAATCCCAATAAGCATATATTGAGTGGTCTGCGCAAAAGCGCCTGCGAATCGCGGCATATATACTAGATTTTTTTTTTTTTTACAGCCTGACACTTTGTGGGAACCAGTAACACTATTACAGTGATCAGTGCTAAAAATATACACTGCAACTGTATTAATGACATTGGCAGGGAAGGTGTTAAACATCAAAGGTTTGTGTGCCTAGCCAGTGTTTTTGTGTACCCTGTGTGTAGTTTTTCCCCCTCCCTCCCCCATGGATCAACTGTGAAATCATGTTTATACAAGTAATTTTGCACAGAATGTCCACCCTATAGCAGTAAATCTGCTATAGGGCAGATGGCAAGTGGTTAAATACCTGCTTGCATCTTAATTGTTTGCTGTAAAGTCACAGTTCCACTTAAAGGTACAGACCAACTTTTCTGTTCTATTACTAAAACAAAATCACATACATGAAATTACTTTTAGAGACCTAGGAAGTTCTTTTTTGTTAAAATGATTTTCTTCTAAGCTCTGTATAAAGACATTCCAGAAGAGAATAAACCTTATTTAAAAAAAAAAAAAACAAAAAAAAAAAAAACCAGAGCAAAAAAACACAATGACTAGATCAGTTAACATTCAGCACATTTTCTTTTCCATTCAAACTTGATTCACTAGCTGTCAAAGGATGCCATACTTTGCAAATTCTCATTGTTCTTTACACTACTTTATTGAAGAAGTGTGAATGTATACTTGGGCATACTGATTTTTTTTACATCAAAGTTTATCTTACATAAACCACTTGCAGTTTAATAATTCATTTTCGATCCAACTTAATCTGAAAAGTGTTTATTTAGCATTATTTCTTCTCATGTACACCAATAAGCGCTCTCGATTTTAAGAAGCATGTGTCAGTCTGCTTCGTCTAAGGTTTTATTTAGATGCAGAAAGTAAGTTACATTCACTGCATCCAATTACACCAAGATCAAAATACTCACAACCTATGTGTGGATTCTTTGAATTTATTGTGGTGAAAAGAGAATTGGAGTATTCATAGAATTTTTGCTCTATATGCACTTTTAGGGGGGGGGGGGGGGGTGGTGTAGGGGATTTTATGATGAAAAATAATCTTTTTTGGGGGGGGCGGGTATTGCTCACTGAATTGGAGTGGTACATACGGCAACATGGTAGGATTACACTGCCCTCCCTCACCCCAACAAGTACTTCCTTCACTCGGTTGCTTACGTTTATTCCACAATGCCGTGTAAGGGTAATTTTGTAGCAGCTAAAAAGTCATTTGAACGTGTAAATTCCATATCTTGGGAGTACATGGGATATAGACACGCACCTTTAAGTAATTGGACACTGACAAGCTTTTGAGGACACACACACCCCTGGGGCACCTTCCTTATATCCCTACCCTACTTTGTGAATCCTTAGTTCTGTAGCAAGCAATGCAGAGTAAACCTAGGACAGGAAAGAAGGGTGGCCCATGCCGTTTACCGTACTCCAAGATATGGAACTTACAGGTAAGTAAAACATCTTTTTTATATTAATCGTACAGTACAAGACACAAGCAACATATTTATACACCATGGGGTGTCTCCAAGCAAAGAACATGAAAGGTTGGCAACAGCTAGACAAACAGAACTTTGCAATGGTGGATTTTGAAGCAGGGTGCCACTGCAATGTCCTGAGAAGGGAACAGACAGGGAATCAGTTATTCTTAGGAAAGCTGTAGTTTCAAAATATACTCTAATGGTGCTGTCCAAGCCCAGGCAATGTAGACAATTCCTTTGCATGCTTAGGAGCAGGGCTCCAGAATGGCAATACAATGCCCTCTGTAAAGTTGAACACTGAATCCAGCTTTGGAAAAAAAAGAAAGGTTATGAGAGTAAAACAACCTTGTGGTTGTGAAGTATGAGGAAAGGCTCTTTATAAGGAAGGGCCCCCAGTTCAGAAACATGCCTAACATTTATCATAGCTATCAAAAAGTCCACCTTGCTGGCAAGAACGTCCAGGGGAATATCCCTGATGGGTTCAAAGGGTGGTTTCTGCATGGCAGAGAAAACCAAATTAAGGTTACTGGGAAGTACAGGGTGCCCAAATGGGAGCCTTTCCCTTGAAAAAGATTTGCAAGGAACAAATTGAACTGTGTTGTTTCCCTTGGCAGAGGGCACTTTGTGAAGAAATTCTAACACTGGGTATATGATAAATAGATAGATCCTTTCCAGTGGATATATGGGTATTGTGATGATTTGGTGCCACCTATTTGGAGGATGTACCATTGTTCCACAACAGCAGTTTTAAAATTGTACAAATAAAATACGACCAAATCCAAAACAGTTGGGATGCTGTGTAAGACCTACATACAAAAAGAATGCAATGATTTGCAAATCTCATAAACCCATATTCTATTCACAATAAAAAACTGAGAAAATGTACCATTTTATCATAAAAAAAATAAGATGGTTCTGAAATTGATGGCAGCAAAACATCTCAAAAAATTTGGGACAGGGCAACAAAAAGCTGGCAAAGTAAGTGGTAATAACAGAGCTGGAAAAACATTTTGCAACTACTGCTTGAAGAACATTTTTTAAGAAAGTGAAACCCCCTTCCACAATCGGGTCAGTGGGGTGTGTCAATAGTTTGAATAGTCAAAAAACTATTAGATGAGCATCTTAACGAACACAATATACAGGGATATAAGAAATATTGACAAACAGATGCACACACCCATACTGGTATAACTGGATGGACTGGTATCTTTATTCAACCTTACTATGTTAACTAATTAGATTAATTGGCAACAGGTCAGTAACATAACTGGGTACAAAAAGAACATTTTAGAAAGGTATAGTGTCTCATGCAATAAAACAGGCATGAGTATGTGATAGACATCACTGCATGGGTTCAGGAATACTTCCAAAAATCACAGTCTGTAAACACAGTTTGCCATGTCATTAAAATGCAAGATAAAGCTCTGTCATACAAAGAAGAAGCCATATCTGAACATGATCCAGAAACGCAGCTATCTTCTCTGCGCCAAAGCTCATTTAAAATGGTCTGTGCAAACTGGAAAACTGTTTTGGTCAGATGAATCAATATTTGACATTCTGTTTGGCAACCATGGCCATGACATCCTGTGGACTAAAAAGGAGAGGCACCTTTCGGCTTGATATCAGCGCTCAGTTCAAAAGCCTGCATCTATATGGTATGAGGGTGCATTAATGCATATGGAATGGCAACTTGCACATCTCGAAAGGCTTTAGAACAGCATATGCTCTCATCCAGGGAAGGACTTGCATATTTCAAGAGGACAATGCTGAACAGCATACTGTGTGTACTGTGACAACAGCATTGCTCCATAGGAGAACGACAATACAGGACTGTTGAGCAGTTAAAGTCCTGAATGAGACAACATTCCTCACCCAAAACTCCAGTAATTGGTCTCCTCAGTTCACAGACATTTACAGAGTGTTGTTAAAAGAAGAGGGGATGCTACACTGTGGTAAAAACGGCCTTGTACAAACTTTGAGACATGTTGCCACCATCAATTTCAATACTACCTTTTTTTTCTTTAAAAATGGTACATTTTCTCAGTTCAAACATTTAATGCTTTATTGTAAAGCTCTAGGGAACACAATATTTCACAATGAATTACACTAAAAAATAATTTTTAATGTATTACCCAATGTTTTGGTAAAATATAGATATTTAAAAGCCCCCTATAGGTCATCAGTTTAGTGCTATGAAGGCAGTCTGCCACTAGAAATATTGCTTTCACTCTGTCGTGCAGGGCGATATGTAGCATGTGTATCACAATCGACAGTTTCATGTGCAGGCTCCCCTGACAGGTGCGTCTATGTTGTTATGTGTGTATACCTGGGGGGCCCTCAAAAATAAGGGGGCAAGGGATTTTATGTGCTGGGGTGTTAAATTCATTTTTTACAATCTCTATGTGATGATTTTTTGGTGACAGGTTCTCTTTAAGGAGACATCCAAGGTCTAAAAGACCCTGGATGTGTTACTTGTGCTCCACTGAATCTAATGGAGTACACATCACACTACATTAGATTCTTTCCTGGCTGTGGTGGCTGGGGACACAGAGGGGGACCTGGAAGTGCTGTTTGACACCTCGCTTCCAGGTCACCAACAAGGAGAGGAGAGTGGACACCCAGCCTTTACCAGGGGTGTGTGCAAGTAATCAGGCACCTACAGAGACCCCAGACTGCTTTCATTTAACAGACGGAAGTCAGCTTGTCCAATGTACACACACGGTAGCTGCAGCTACTGGGTGTGTGTGTAAACCCCCCCCCCCGCCAGGTCCATATGATAAATGGAACTGGCAGCGAAAGGGTTAAAGCTGAAACCTGGGTAGAGTAAGCTTGAAGTTCATAATATTCTGCACATGTGAATGGATGTCATTTTATTCATGACATGTTCTAGAGCAGCTACACAAACAAGCAGAAGGCAATTGCTGTATTTGCTCTGTAACAGCAGGATCCTGAAACACATGGTCATGTTGGTTGTCCTACTCCAATTAGTCGCAGTTTGAAATACTGAAATTGCAGTGAGAGCTGGTTGCAGGGCTAGGCATGCAAGACTAAAAGGAGAGCCTTTACGTGTGTCTTCAATTTTTATATGAAGAATCTTTGAAAGAAGGAATTTCTTCAAAATGTACAGTAAGATGTTTGTTTAGGACAGAGAGAACAGGAACAACTACAGGAATAGTCCACTTTGTGAACTCTTTTTCCACTGGATAGGGTTCTGCAAATATTTAGGGGGAACATCCTTTCACAAGTGTCCCAATTGTCACAGGCTGTATATTCTATCTGTTCATGAAGAAGAAATATTTTGAAGGTCTTTTTTGTACCCAAAGGGGTATGGCGAGATGTGGGAGAGTCAAGTTGCGCACTGCCATGGTTTTTACAGACAGAGACAAGAGAAAAATCTTCCACACCTTCATCCAATACTGCCTCAATATCCTCTTCATTTCTTTGTGTCTGCATCCTCTAGGACCCACATATTGGATCAGTTGAGAAACAGGAGTAGAAGATTTTGGGTGTTTCCGAAATCTGTATAAAGATGGCTACATAAAGGCTGTAATCTGTTCAAGCAATTGTGACATACATGCAGAAAATTCTGCTTTTGTTAGGTAGGCAGGATGTTGCGTGCCTAAAAAGGAGGTAGAACCAGATGCAGACAGTGGTGTTAGAACAAGTTTTGCACCGGTGCAAGGGACGCATTGTCACTCTGAGGATGAGTATTGTGCAGTCATTCAGCAGTGCAAATGTTAGCCTGCAATTTTGCTTTGGCTCTCTTTGCTCTGGTCCCTGCCATAGCTACAAGGGAGGGTATTTTACCGAGGGCGGGAAGAAGCACCTGAGCGTCTTATAAGGGCTCTAGGAAAAGGTGGCATTACAAGTGTGCAACCAGTGGTGTGATGTAGAAATAATTTATACCTGTGCTCAAAGCGCAATAGCTTATACATATATATGACCCATCAGGTGCTAAAGGGGTGTGACCACACGTTAAGACTAAAAATTGTGATTGAACCCTCTCCACTCTGCTATACAGCCTTTCTAGAAATTTTTGCTCAAAACAGGGATTTTTAGCTAACATACATTGCAATATGTGTCTAAGCTGGCCAACTGCGTCAAGATAATCCCTCTCTAGCCAGCCCTACTCTGCAAAACGCAAATGCGCCAGTGGATATAGTACCAATATGGGACCATTGGACACAAGCTGTAGGAAAGCTACAGGTTCCAGTCTGATCAGTGGGTTCATTCAGAATTTTGTATTAATAGGTGGTTTCACCCTTTAATGGGTGGCACCTGATGGGTTATATACTGTATGTGTATAAGCTATTGGGATTTGGGCACAGGTGTATCTTATTTCTATTGCAGTGCAGGTCAGTGACCAGCCCTGAATCCAAAACATTACAAGCCATCCCCATAGCATGGGGTCAAGGTATGGCTCCCAAGATTTTACTGAGGTTGCACCGAACCAGATACACTTCTTCTGCGCAGGCAATAGAAGACAGTGATGTGTTGATTGAAGAATTCAAATACAATAAAAACATAACATAATAGACATTAGCAAAATACTGAGGATTCACAGAGTGGGGTAAGGTTACACAGAAGGTGTCCCAAGGGGGCGTGCCCTCAAAAGTATCCAATCACCTGAAGGTATGTACTTATAACCCATGGTGTATGAATGTTGCCTGTGTTCTGTACTGTATGATCAAGGTAACTGAATTGCAGTCAATGAAAAGTAAATGTCAGAAAGATACCAGCTTTCCATACTATTTATAGACTCAACATTTACAGAAGCTACTCATAGTATTCAACACAGCAGTGATTAACCCTTTGTTTCTCAGAATGATGCCCCATACTGAGGATATGTTAATGTTTTTCTTTTAAGATCTAGCAGCCAAAACTTTGTGAAGCCAATTGGTGTCAAACTTGGCCCTCAATTTCATCGCAGGTATCCACTAACGACTGAAAACCAATCAGAGTGGTTCCTGATCATGTGATCACTATGTCAGTTAAGTGAACACATTCAGACTCTCCGGGCTTTACTGATAAATAAGCCTTCAGTCTAAAGATAGCACTGCAGCCTGCAGGTGGATGTGGGTATCAGCTTAATACTGTAATTGCCAGATACAGTAACAGTACACAAAAGATATATTTATAACAATATTCATTAAAACAGTGTACAACGCACTGCATTGCCACATACCGTGTACTTTATCTCTGTTTTACTATCAATATTAATTATGATGTCATGCACAGCCGACAGTGTCCCAGGTAGCAAGGGGCTACACATGAACTAAGGATGGTGTGTCTACAGTATGGACACTCCAGCCTCAGTGCTGTCGCCTACACGTGACAGATTAGTAAATCTTATCCCAACAGACACATGAATCTGTTGCCGACATTGACAGTCATCATGTGAAGGAGTGACAGAAATCTAAAGAGTCAAAAAAATTGGTGCCATTGACCATAGCAAGATGCCTTGTTTTTCTCAGTGATTAAACCTATAAATTTGATTTGTGCAAACGGTTTAAATTCAGAACAGTCTGTTAGTTACACAGAACTTACTCGTGCTTTCCGTTCTCTGTCAGCAGGGGTGTCTGTCCACTCAGACCGATCACCAGACTTTTCATTAGCTCTCCGTTTAAATGTTCTTGGGCCAAGTCCAAAGTTGGCTAGCTCTGGAGGCAGCTCGGTCATCCATGTCTCCCTGGTTGGATTTTTGGGGCCATCCTTTAGAGAAACATACAGTAAAGCTGAACCTACAAAATGTTTAAACATGCAGAACAGTTTCTAAATATGTTAGCTAGAAAAATAGAGCCAGACATCTTGTTACATCAAGATATTTGCAAAATGTATGCAAGAATTCATAGCAACCGAATGGAAATCATCTTTTAAATAATCTTTTTAGCGGAGTCTGACTGGCTGCTACAGGTTACAACACTTTACAAATTGTGGTTGCATTTCATAGAGCTTGAGTGAATAAGCCTTCACGTGTGTTTTATCCTTAATTTTCAAATGATATGCTTTCAATATATAGCATTTACATAGCAAACTGGGCAATGCAGGAATCCCAAAACAGACACATACTCTGTTCAGGGTCTAGACATAAATGGTTGTGTATCTCTGCTCGAAGGGAAAAGATATCAACTTTGAACTTAAAGGCCAAACTGAAGTATATCAAATGGTGGATCATTATATTAATACAGTTTAAACATGGCAAAAAAAACAGATCGCAAATAATGATTAACATTTTAAAAATTGGATATGCATCGGACAGATATTACTTGGCTACTGCCCAATGTAGTGAGACAGACTGTGTACTGAAAGCCACATAAGGACCATTAACAGTTAGGGACCATGTAGTGGTACAAGATGTGCTATAGCTAACGTGTATAGTATAGTTTATTATAAACGCATTGTAATATAATAAAAACAATCATTGAGGGTCTATTCCTACCTTGGCATCCAGGTGTTAACATGTGTTTCTTTTATATATTAACATGTGATGCGTTATGGCAGTCCATTCAAACGAATGGGCTGTCAACCTACAAAAGCATCTAAAACAATTGGACATTCTGGGCAATGCAGTGCACTACAATGTACAGTAGTGCATTACTGTGCATTGTGATGCGCTGAAACAGATGTTCATTGGAGCTGCATTGCCTGAATGTTAGGGTCCCATTCAAAATGAATGGCACTGCAATGTACCAACACATGTGACATGCATTGCAGTAGCAAGGAAGAATGTCACCAGCACACCGAGGATCACTAAGATGGGTCCAAACCTGCGAGACTCCGAAACGTTGCCTTACTGCAACTATGTGATCGTTCCTTAAAAGTTTTGGCCCATCTTGGTGATCCTCGTTGTGCTGGTGACATTCTCCCTTGCTGATTCTGTTCGGTTCCAGCCGACGGTTGCTGCAGCACCCACTTAAACACACCCATTTGTACCGCAGAATTGTGTGCGTTGGATTGTACACTTGTATGCATCGCAGTTGCACGCACCTTACTGTGACACACCTTGCTGGAAAGGCATGAATGGGGCCTGAAGATTATAAGCCTGTTTGAATAAATATTTGTACATTAAATTACCAAAAAAACATCTGTCCCATAATGGGAAGCAAAACCACTGAACTTACATCTTTTGCTGTAAGTTTCTGCTTCATCCTCCAAGCTCTACGTTCAATATCCTCAGCAACATTTGACTGAATAGGGCCTTTGGCAGGAAGAGGGCCAACAATTTCATCGTCATCATCATCATCATCCTCCTCTTCACTATCTGCTGACTGAAATCAGAACAAAACTTCAAACAACAAACTTTTGTCTAATGAGTTGAATTTAGCCACGTTATCACCTGCATGAAATGTACATTACACAGAAAAGTGTTTTGCGCCTCTGAATGCATAAATAAAGGTGAACAGATGGAACATTTATATACAGCAGTTGTCCTAGCTATTCTTTCCCACTTCAGACTTTGCCATCATTACTATTCCTTTTTGTATCCCTGTACACAGTTCTAGTTCTCACAGAAGGGTTATTCAAGATGCTGGTTATCCTGAACAGACAGAAAAACCTAAAGGAAACCTGTCAGAGAAATAAGCACACCTCTAATTCAGAAAATACTATGTTCCTAGACATCACAATTTAATTTTGTTGTTCTGCAATCTACTGACAAATAAAGTGTCTGTCACTTTCATCTGCCGGGCACTTGCTCTGGGTCAGTGATGCAGAAATACTGAAGTCAAATACAGTCTAGCAGCTTCAGAAAGTAGTTGGTAACAGTAACCTATTTATATCATGATCTGCTTCAAATAGTCAAAGAAAGCTCATCAAAAATCTCAAGATAATGAACAGATGTATAAGGGCCACTTAGGCATCCCCCTCCCCCCCCCCCCAAAAAAAAAAAACTAAAGAAAAGATTTGAATGTGAGTGCAGTATTGAGGCCATGAGGACTAGTAGCTTTTAATTTATATATCCATCGAGCTGCTTGTCTAACAATTTTATTATCAAAATCGTCTCCCCTGGGATCCTGATAAGTCCTATCGGAGGCAAAAAAAAGGAAATGACAGTTGGGACATATCCATGCAATAACCCCACGTTTGCCAATCGGCGTATACAGCAAACCTGCATCAATATAATAGAGATTATCCTGCACCCATCAGTTAAATGTTCCTTTAGTCTTCCCATTACCATCTTTGAGGAGGGCTCTTTAAACCACACATATAGCACCCTCTCAGGAATCAGCAGCTATTAACTTGTTATTTGATGCTGTGGTGAGCTGTAAATCAATACTGTGTTAATGTTTGAAATATTAATGAAAATGTTATTTGTATCATGAAATAATTGTTCAACTTTCTAAACAGTCCCATGATGCCCCTGATGAAGCAGCTATGAACTGCGAAACGCACCAGCATGTATGAACAGAACACAACACCAGCCATGTATTTGTATGGTTTTATGCAAGTGGTTATGTAAATAAATGTATGAATTTTTTATATGATGGTTATGTAATTTTCCACCAGTTTTAATGCAATTCAATAAATACATTGCTTATGCAACTGTGCTGTGTATTTAGTACGACGCCTTTAAAAGTTCCTTTTACTCTGAGCGTTTTTTCCCTCTTTTTTTTGGTTTCAATATATTGGGATGTGGCACCATACGCCTATTTCCTGAGATAATGGTAATGTTGATTGTTATGGTAAGATCTCCCTGCAATAATACTTAAAGAAGTATAGCCAAAGCTATTTTGGTTGTACGTCTCTGGATCATAGTAGTGCAGTTCTGCAATTGTGTGACCCGTTTTTCAACCTACAGCGGCTGATGTCACAGAGCCGATGCAGAGTCTGAAAAGATCCAGACCATGAGGTTGGGATCCACCTACAACCCTGGACTGGCAGCTGGCTCAGCCTCTCAGTGAGCCACTGAGAGACGGAGCTAGCAGCTCAGCGCTCCAGTGAACACGGGGGTGTCAGTCAGAGCTGAGAGCTGGAGACTAACAGGCCCCGCCAGCTCTCTGCTTACAGAATGCGGAGAACGGAGCAATCAGCAGTGTTTGTTTGCAGAGCGTTTTGTTTGATGCTGCATCAATCTAGTGGAGTATCTTTTTTTTTAAATCCTGAACTTCTCTTTTAAAAACTGTTCCTGTGATTACTAAAAAGTGAAACTTTATTTTTATTATACTGGAAGGTTGCCTATACTGTAGGTTTACACTGAACCACCCTTTTTTGCTAATAGCAATACCACATACTAATACCACCTCCTAAGTGCTGAAACATAAACAAGAAGATGTTTCTTTAAGTGCTCTTAAGAGGAACCCTGGAATTTGTATTTTTTCTATGTTATCTTAACGGTCAAACCATATAGTGCCTTCATACAGTCATGGCCGAAATTGTTGGCACCCTTGATATTTTTCCTGAAAATCAAGTATTTCACACACAAAAAAGGTATTGCATTAACACATGTTTTGCTATACACATGTTTATGCCCTTTGTATGTATTGGAACAAATATAAAACAGAGGCAGAAAAGCAAATATGACATAATGTCACACAAAACCCCAAAAATGGGCTGGACAAAAGTATTGGCACCCTTAACTTAATATTTGGTTGCACACCCTTTGGAAAACATAACTGAAATCAGTCGCTTCCTATAACCATCAATAAGCTTCTGACACCTCTCACCCGGAATTTTGGACCACTCTTCCTTTGCAAACAGCTCCAGGTCTCTCTTATTGGAAGGACACCTTTTCCCAACAGCAATTTTAAGATCTCTCCACAGGTGTTCAATGGGATTTAGATTCTGGGCTCATTGCTGGCCACTTCAGAACTCTCCAGCGCTTCTTTGCCATCCATTTCTGAGTGCTTTTTGACGTATGTTTGGGGTCATTGTCCTGCTGGAAGACCCAGGATCTTGGACGCAAACCCAGCTTTCTGACACTGGGCCTACAGTGCGACCCAAAATCCTTTGGTAATCCTCAGATTTCATGATGCCTTGCACACAGTCAAGGCACCCAGTGCCAGAGGGCAGCAAAACAACCCCAAAACATCATTGAACCTCCACCATATTTTACCGTAGGTACTGTGTTTTGTTCTTTGTAGGCCTCATTCTGTTTTCGGTAAACAGTAGAATGATGTGCTTTACCGAAAAGCTCTATCTTGGTCTCATCTGTCCACAAGACGTTTTCCCAGAAGGCTTTTGGCTTACTCAAGTACATTTTGGCAAACTGTAGTCTTGCTTTTTTATGTCTCTGTGTCAGCAGTGGGGTCCTCCTGGGTCTCCTGCCATAGCGTTTCATTTCATTTAAATGTCGACGGATAGTTCGCGCTGACACTGATGCTCCCTGAGCCTGCAGGACAGCTTGAATGTCTTTGGAACATGTTTGGGGCTGCTTATCCACCATCCGGACTATTCTGCGTTGCAATCTTTCATCAATTTTCCTCATCCGTCCACGACCAGGGAGATTAGCTACAGTGCCATGGGTTGCAAACTTCTTGATAATGTTGCGCACTGTGGACAAAGGCAAATCTAGTTCTCTGGAGATGGACTTGTAACCTTGAGATTGTTGATATTTTGCCACAATTTTGGTTCTCAGGTCCTCAGACAGTTCTCGTCTCCTCTTTCTGTTGTCCATGCTTAGTGTGGCACAGACAGACACACAATGCAAAGGTTAAGTGAACGTCTCTCCTTTTTATCTGCTTTCAGGTGTGATTTCTATATTGCCCACACCTGTTACTTGCCCCAGGTGAGTTTACAGGAGCATCACATGCTTGTAACATTCTTATTTATCCGCAGTTGTGAAAGGGTGCCAATACTTTTGTCCAGCCCATTTTTGGAGGTTTGTGTGACATTATGTCGAATTTGCTTTCTTTCCTCCCTTTTTTTGTTTTGTCCCAATACACACAAAGGGAATAAACATGTGTATAGCAAAAACATGTGTTAATGCAATACGTTTCGTGAGAAATACATGATTTCCTGGAGAAATATCAAGGGTGCCAACAATTTCGGCCATGACTGTATAAAAGCTAAGCAAACTATCCATTTAATGGTTTTCACTTTTTCTGGGAAAAAACAGATGATTCCTAAAACAAAATGCAAATACTACACAGCTGAGAAGCAGCAGGATATAACCCTTGAGGTTCAGTTACTATGGATAAGCCAAGTACTAAGCTTGCTGCTTTGCCTACTCTGCCCAGGAAGCGAAACATATAAAAGAGAAATTGTTTATGGTCAGCTCAAGTACTTGAAGAGTAGCAACTTAAGCACCGAAAGAAAAGTCTCTTCTAGCAAAATGTTGATAAATACATAAAAATTCAAGGTACTGAATTCCTACAATTACATTCTGAATGTATTCAAACTGATACGGCTTCATAATGTTAATTATATTTTAAAGGACATTTCCATAGACACGGTCATCTTGGAAAATTCCACAACAACATTATGGATATGATCACAGTATATACAAACAGCTATATTCTCTAGGACTGAACACAGAGAAAGAGAAAAACTAGTTTATGTACTGTAGGTCTCAGAAAAACAAACATATTAAAGGAGCTATTACAACTGGAAAAGATTATCCACTCCACAGATGAACACATTCTCTCACATACAAACACACCACAGCCAGTCCAGCAAAAGTCGCAGTTAGATGGTTGAGACAAACCATTTAACACTGACATGGGTGCTTAAAAATGTCAACTATTATTTATGTAAAAACCTTTATACCAAAAGGAAAAATAAAAAACTGTTGCTGTAACTGCATATAAAGTGTTAGCTGAAGTTCAGCATTAAAGATTGTTACCTCAACATTCCAAATTCCTGATATGGGCCTGTTGTACCATGTACTTGTATGAAAAATTATGTTCTCTTTGTATTGCTTCCTTTCTGTGAAATACCTGGCTTTCCTGCCAGTCCCTCTGCTTTCCAATTAAAAACTTACAACACTAGAAATAACAGAAAAACCCGTGGTCAGTTTTCTGGCTGTGCTGAGAACTCAGCCTGATCTTCTCCAATGATCAGACGTGTCCTGACACAGACCCACCCTGCACAGCCATTCACTGAGAAGTTCAGTGTGCTGCTTTCTCTTTCCACTGCTCTCTAAGCTCCTTATGCAGCTGAGAATATATTATGTGATCAGTTTTTCTATGTATACACAGTTGTTTTTCCTTTTGTTTCTATTCTAAATGGAATGGGTTATCTCCCAAGGTAAGGTTCACATACACAGTACTGTGCAAACGTTTTAGGCAGGTGTGAAAAAAAATGCTATAAACTAAGAAAGCTTTCAGAAATA